GTCCTCACGGTTCAAGAAAGAGGTGGCCAGACTGGAGAAAGTCCAAAGGAGGACCATGAAGGTGGTCAAAGGGATGGACAAGGAGATGATCAGTGAAGAAAGACTGAAGGAGAAGAGAAGGCTCAGCAGGAACCTCATCACTCTGTTCCAGTCCCAAAAGGGTGGCTGCAAAGAGGGTAGAGTTCTTTCTTCACAAGGATCCACATGGAAAATACAAGAGGAACAAGTACAAACTGCACCAGGAGAGGTTTCATTTTGATATAAGAAAAGAATTTTTTAGAATAGGAACAGCCATTCATGGGAACAACCTCCCAGGGATGGGGCATTGGTGGTTTCCAAGAGGTGACTGGACAGGGTGCTAAATAACCTCACTAAGCTCCCTTTCTCACGAAGGTTGGACCAGATGGTCATTCAACTTCCAGCCTTGGTTGTTGGTTCCATGAACTGCTCTGCAGTCCCTTCTGGAAGGTATCTCCCACTTGCCATTGATGATGGAGAGAGTCTGTGGAGAGTCACCTTTGCAAATGTGATGTCAAACCACCAGCACAGGCAGGTCATGCCCAATTCTGGTGGCTGTTTGGCCTTGCAGTTGCAGTCTTTTAGTTGCAATGAGAGACAGATGCTGAAAAGGAGGAGCCAGACATCAAATATAGTGTCTGAATTTAACTTCCAAAGTGCACCTCTATTGCATTTTACTCTGGACTCCCCTGCCTTCATCTCTGTCCCTTCTCCCACCACCCAATTTTAACACCTGGCTGTCAAATGCAAATACTTAACTGATGCAGAGGAACTTGGGTAGTTCTCCTCTATGAAACAAAAATTCCCATAGCTAAGCATTTAAGTTTCTTTACCTGGGCTCTGAGTTCCAGATATGCTAAATGGAGGTGAAGGTAAAGGAGGTGAGGTCACCATGCAGCAAAGAAACAAGCCTTGTCCTTTACAATTACAGTCTGTAGTGTTCATTTTGGGATGTTAATTGTCCTGTAGTACCAGCACTTCACACTGACAAGTCAATAATCAAACAGTGGTTAGATACAGTAAATAGTCACAAAAGCTGCAGCACAGAAAGTTTTTGTACACTTATAAAAGCAAAATAAGAAAATTAGACAGGAAAAACATTATGGACACGGTAGAAAAAAAATGGCTCAAGGAGCACTGCACACTTGTTTCAATTTTAATTGTGTTTTGTTTTTCAGAGCACAGCCTTTCTTGCTCCAAAATATATTTCACAGTGAAAAAATCAAACAAAGCACTGTTACACTCAGCTGATATTTACACACACCTGGAAGCAAACCACCTGTGGGCTTCTTCCCTCCTGGAATAAATGGGAATAACAGCCACTGGGAGTGGTGGCCATGCCTGGGCAGCATCTGCAGCTTACATTCAACAGAGAGGGTTTCTTGAGGGCTAATTTGTGCCAGGGCACCAGAGCCTGGTTGCAATAACTATTTACACCTCAAGCATGATCTTTCCAGCAACACTGAGAAAGTTCAGGTGACCAGGGAAAGCCACATCTGCAAAGTGCAGCAACACTTCAGATAAGTCAGATCACGAGAGAAGGGGGTGGTTTGTATGAGATATTGTACATTTAATATGTCGAGAGGCACCTTCTCCTCTAGGAAATTCAGTGCTGGTGAATGGTAGCAAAGACTTCAATTTGAGCAAGAAACACAGGGTCTGCAACAGCAGAAATTTCCCCTCCACTGCTCTCCAACTTGTCTTGCTCCTGAGCATTGGCTCCAGGAATTAAGGGTCAAGTTTTCATGACTATTCCACCCTTGGATTCTCTTGCTGAGACCATCAAAAATAGATAGTAATAACAATGTGCTGAGGCCAAATCCCAATCCTAAGTGAAGAGGGTTTGTTCTAACAACAACAACAACAACAATAAGAGTTTTCTGTACTGATTTGAATTTAGCTGAGGGCCTGGTCTCCAGCGTGCAGGATTCGAGGGTGGTTTTGGTGATGTGGACATTTGCCCACGAGGCACTGGACTGAGATCCACCAGCTCAAATTTCAGAGCACTGTAGGACAGCCGGGGAAACAACAAAATCCAGAAATAAACTCGGGAAAAGCTTCAACAACAACACCAAAAATACATGAAAAAATAAAGATCCAAACACCTTCTTGCTCTGAACTGAAACATGGCAAAAAGTCTCCAGCTTTTATCTCAAAAGTTCTAATTTATTAATGCTTGAAAACTGGCTACTAGTCTTTCAGGCAAAATATAGCTTTTGATTTTTTTTTTTAAATAATACACTTACAATATTGTCAATATAATACTTGTGAAAGCCCAAACTGCAGAAAACACAAACCTGGTGGTATCAGTTCATTTAACATTAGATTTCAAAAATGTCCAGGCTGCCAAGTGCAGGGTAAACTTTCTCAAATAGCTTTTTTGGAAACATCTAATGAGAGAGGAAGGGCCAATCCATCAGTTAAAAACACTCGAGTGACTTCTGCAGAGAGCTGGGAAGAAGGGGATCAATTCTGCTCTCAGAGCAGCAAATCAGTGCTGCAGATGTGCAAAAAAAAGGTGTCTGGATCATATAAATTCCACTTGAGAATTTGGAGTATAATGGAAGTGGTTTAAACACTTTACTGGTCCTCTGTGCAAGGGCAGGTTTCACATGACAGGGGTGCAACCATCTCGTAAGAGCATGATCCTGTACCAATATAACCTCAGTCATTATTTCTATTTCAAATTATTTTTTACATTCATTTAAACTGCTACAGTTGAGAGCAGATCATGCCCCATAAAGCACTATATGTGTTGAGGATTATTACAACTAATATTCCTTTCACGACTTTCTGAGGCCTGATTTTTCCTCCTTTTAAAAATAAGTAAACTAGGATTATTTTTAAAAACCTTTGCTTAAAATGACATTAAAACTTTTTTTTTTTACTTAAACTAACAAAACCAGTGAAATTAAAAGCTCACACTCAGCTGACACTAAAATTCCAAGTCTTTCCCTTTTTTTTTTTTTTTAGTTTATGATCATGTCAACGAAGACCAAAGAACCAGCCTGAATTTTGAATTTCCTGGTTACTATTAGTTTCAGTTCAAAACTTCACATTTAAAGTGTCATTTCCATTTTTGTCTTTAATATATGCACATACACACACATATATATATATTATATATATATATATCAGTTCATAAATCCAAAGTGAAGTGAGCATTAGGATGGTCCTCGAAGCCTTTTTGCTCTGTATAAAGACTCTTAAGAATTGACATCATTGACACTGGATTGAAGTAGGTAAGTACCAGTCGTGGCTTCAACTACAAGGCAAAAGTTGAAAGAACATTCTAGTTGCTCCCCCAAAAAAGCAGTAAGACCATTGGTGCTTAAACAAACAGAATGTCCTGAAAGAGACAAAACTGCCAGGTGTGGGAAGTCCTCCAAAGTCCTTACATTTTCCTTCCACGCCATCCCATTGTTCAGTTGAGTTGCTCATTGATATCACCAGATGCAGATGATTTTTACCTTCCAGGATGTTGTGCCAGATCCTTCTTGTGCCTCTGGCAGGGGAGAGTCAACACACAGAAGTCCAAGAGGTTGCAGAGGCACCGTGGGCTGTGTGGCAGCCCAATGCCACGTTTGGCCACAGATGCAGAGGGTCCAAGGTCATCTGCAGGGAAAGACCACCCTGGAACCAACTTTTGCTCTTAAGGTGGGAGGGAAGGGACAGTTATTTTTGTAACTCAAAGAATCCAAATGATCAATCTGTCACTCAATGCCAAAAAAATATAGGTATATCTCTACTGCAGGGCCCTTTTAGAAAATTCACAGCTTAGCTAGAACACAAACAATCTCAGAAGTGTCCCTGGGTACAGAAAAACACAGAGGATCCCATTGCTCTTGCCTCAAGTTCCTGCAGTGAGAGGCAGTTTCACATTGGCACAGCTGTTCCTTTAAGTCCACTGGGAATGTCTGACTAAATCCAGCTTAACTTCCTGGAGATCCTCCTGAATGGTTTGATAAACCCAAGCACAACAGCTCCATCCTAAGACTCAAAAGAGAAACACTGCAAAAATTCACGTGCCAAAAGACAGGGACAGGCTCGGGCATGTTTGACTGAGGGGGAAAAAAAATAGGCAAATCCAACCCAAAAAGGAAACCAAGTGGCAAAATGACAAAGGTCATGTCCATTCACGGACTGGGATCAGTTTGGCAACCAAGGATCACAACTGCACAGCAACCACTTGTTACTTTGGACGGACACGGATCACTTGCAGATGCTCTGAAATGGGAACAGTTGAGTGGGTGGGTTTGGCCTCTTGTTTGTCTGTTAAACATTCCCCATTAATGGCCTTGAGTACAGCTGGGTATTTACAGTGACTGTTAAAAAGAGATATATACACACATTTCCTTTGCTTTGTCACCT